GCGATGTTTGAGAAATTTACCAAAAAGTCTCTGAAAATGGTACTAATACGGAATTGTTCTCATCATATAAATACTCGATGAAAAAACTGGAAAATTTTCACCTCACTTGTTTGGCTTTAGTTTAATTAATTTTATTTGCATGCTCTTAAAAAATGGTCTGGTTTTTACAGAATAAAACACTAAAGTTGAGAAAATTCTGAAAAATTCTCTGATCATGGCACTGATTCGAGACGCTTGCCACTTATACAGCCGGCTTTTGTCTATTGAATAGGGAAATGCTCAATTTTCCATCTATTTTGAGTTTTTCTCAACTAATTTCTGAAGCACGCTTTGCAGAAGAGCCTGTTTGAAAAACCGCGATGTTTAAGAAATTTACCAAAAAGTCTCTGATGATGGTACTAATACAGAATTTTTCTCATCAAGTAAAGACTTGATGAAAAAACGAGAAAATTTTCTCCTTACTTGGTTGGCTTTAATTTAATTAATTTTATTTGCATGCTCTTGAAAATGGTCTGGTTCTTAAACTTCTGAAAACTTCTGAAAAATTCTCTGATGATGGCACTGATTCGAAACTTTTTCCGCTTATAGAGTTGGCTTTTGTCTATGGAATAGAGAAATCGCCAATTTTCGATCCATTTTGAGTTTTTCTCAATTAATTTCTGAAGCGCGCTTTGCAGAAGAGCCTGTTTGAAAAACCGCGATGTTTGAGAAATTTGCCAACAAATCTCGTGCTTTTGACACCAATTTGAAACTTTACCCACCTATGCACTGGTTTTTACTCTTTTTAACAGAAAAATGGCAAACATTCGGGCTCATTTGGCATTGGCCCAATTAATTTTTGAAGTTCTCGCACAATGGTCCGGTCCATGCAAAATCAAACACTCAACTTAAAAAAAATCTGCAAAATGCCCTGATACTGGCACTAAGTCGAAACTGTTTCAGCTAATAGACCTGGCTTTTGCCTTTCAAACACGGAAATAGCGAATCCATCACTTCTCTTAATTTCTCCCCAATTGATTTTGGCGAAACTTCCTGTAAAACTTGTGGTTAACAGACGCAGAATTTTAAAACTTCCTTCAAAAATCCCTGACCCAGAGGATTAATTGGAAACTTTTTCCATGCAGAGCTTCAACATCTCCCAGTTAAACATAGAAAATACATATTTTGCACCCCTCTTGCTTCGTGCTTAATATTTTTTTTAGAAACTCCCATGAAAATTGCTTGGTTAAACCGGCGCTAACCTTTGAAAAATTCTCGTAGACTTCCTGATGATGGTGCCGATTCGGAACGTTCCCCATACACACACGTGACTTGCCTTTGCGCAAAAATGGCAAAAACAATTGGACCAACGACGAAGAAAATGAAATAATTCGAAAAGTAAGTCGTGCAAATTCCGGATTGAACGTGAACGGATTTCGCCTGGAACAATTCCGAAACGAAAGCCGCGATCCCGTAGTGGTCCTTTAATTAAAGAGAGGGTATAATTCGCAAGTCCTCACCCTTAAAATTTGCATATTTTTAATACACAACATACTTAGCGCGACGACCGTCGGTCGGTTTTAATAAAAGCAAAAAGCAATATAATTACCGGGAAAGTTTTCGGGAAAAGTGTGGAAAGCAGGGGCGGCAGCCGCCCAACTCTTTGCATGAGTTAAGGGACCATCATCCCGATCCTCTACCTGACCAATGCGACAAGAAATCATTTTAGAGCGCCGGAAATACGGGCGCAAAGAACGCGGCCCAATCGAAAAAAAACCACAGAAGATCAAAGGCCAAACTAATGGAAAAGTTGTTTGTTTATTGGGTGAGCCCGTAATGGAGAAGTTACTGATTGGAAATGCCGACGCTGAATGTAAAGTGTCTAATTTTAATATTTTATTAGGCGCCGACATGATCGAGCATTGAATTCTAATGCGATTAAGTATCCGAAGGAAAACTAATTTACAGCGGAAAACAAAAATGGAAACAAAAACAAAAGGAAAGCAGTAAAAGCTGCATATTCGGCCGATTGGATCCGAGTGGCTTGCGAATTGCATTTGAATAATTGCATTACAAAATGCGTGCAGTTGCACCGTGCTGAAGAATTGCCCCGATCAAAGGTGCAATAAAATGCAAAGCGCTCACATAAAAATATTCAGTCTTTCTGGCTGACCACTTGGGAAATTGCCATTTTTCTCTGTGTGATACAAGACAAACCAGATATAAGCAGAAGACACTTAATTCTCAGTTTAGGTGAGAACTGGTGGCTAAATTGGCCATTATTGTGCTACATTGATCCTACTGAGGCTCAAAAAGTTTCACTACTCTTATGTGAAATAGCGCCTTCATCAAGCATTTATTTTTCTTGTAAATGGGAAATTTTGATTGCCAATCATCTTCAGGAAGTTTTTGCAGGCCGGAGTTTTCCATTTATTTATYCAAAAATTAGTCTATTTTGCAATAGTGCGAGYCAAAAGTTTCGATTCTCTGCCATCAYCARGCCATTTTCTATTTCTTCTGCACTTGTATGCAGTTTTCGTGGATATTCGCCGGTCAAAATMTGCCMTTTAATTGCTCCGGAACTTTTAAMGTTTYMGACTCGCTTTTGTATCACATTTGTAGCMCAAAGCGTGATCCATAAGTGGAAATCGTGTYGMTTTTSAATCGATCCCAGAAAAACTTCGGGAATTTTTTAAATGTTGATATTTTGCGCTTGTTCATGCAGGCCKCAGTTCAACAGTTATTTMTGCAGAACGTCGASACAKGCTAGACAGTGGTTTTTGCACGGATTTTGTTCATCAAGATGTCTTGTAAGTAGCGAAAGTTTGGATTTTGAGTCCTCAAGGTTTTTTTACATTTGCGATTGTCTATGTACATTTATTTTCTCAAAAAAGAGTAACGCGGGACATTCACGTTTGAGTGTATTTTGCAGGGCAAAATGCGTGCGTTCTATTCGTCGAATAAAAATTGATTTTGGCCCAATCTCAGGGTATTTTTGAGATTTTTAAAAAATTTGCCATTAAACTTTGTTTTTGTTTAAGCAAGCCAAAGTTTGGCATTGATTTTCTAAGAAACCAGTGAAGCTTGATAGTTCTATTTGTAGGTGCGCTTTTTACGGTCAAGTGTTTTCAATAGGTGGAAAAAGTTTTCATTTTGAATCATCATCAGAGTATTTCCAATTTATTTTAGTTAGCGATATAATTTTGCGGTTGATTACGCAGTCCGGAGTTTAACAGTTATTTATTCAGAAAGCAAACAAGCTACAGAGTGACTTTTGTATGCCTCTTATTAACCAAAGTCCGTTTAATACGCAGTAGAAGAAGTTTCGATTTTGAGTCAACCTCAGGCTAATTTCCAGATTTTTTTTAATTGCAAAGAAATTTTGTGGTTGTTGATGCAAGCCTAAGTTTGGCATTAAATTGTGCAGAAACCAGACAAGGTGGAGATTTGGATCCCGATGTATTTTGTAGGCTAAGGTGCATTCTATTGAGGATAAAAGTTTCGATTTTGAGTGATCCTCAGGGCATTTTTGAGATGTTTTTAAATTTGAAATAA